AAGAAGACTTTGCAGCCTGTTTCTCCTTCTGCTGAGGAAGATGAGTTTTCTTGACACCAGTAACATCCAGAGTAGATGCAAAGTTACAACTATTTGTTCCAAACGTTCTATGACCCAGGGATTACCTGTAGCAGTGTAAAGATCTCTTTTAAAGGGACCTTGTCCACTCAGCAAGAGTTTAACAAAGCAAGGTCACAGCCAAGACAGGCTGAAGAGCAGGGCCTGCCAACAAGAAGCAAGCTGTAGAGAGGCTTCCAAACATTTATCCTTTGGGTCCTTAAAGAAAGGTGTATCCTCCACCTATATGCGGGTTGCTTTGTTCAGGTGGGACACTGCTGGATCCCCAGTGGGATAGAACACTTTTTTTACAAGGTCCTCTTCAAGTAGGTACAAGGCTAATAAGCACTTGGGAGGAGGGGGGCAAACATCTTGTTAGGGTGTTTCCAATCTCTGTAGATAAAGACTTGGAAATGCGGGTTCACTGGGAAAGTCTTTACAGTCTTATGGGTTCTAAAGGACCCAACGCTGGGAATAGCACTGGTAGAAGCAACAGGCTAATCCTCTAATATCAGAGTGGTGTACATCAATTAAAGTCAAAACCTTCTCTTTAATTTGGGATAGGATTGAGACTCTTCAGGGGCAAGCTTGTCAAGTAAACACTAAGAATCAGACAGTCTCAGCAGCTGGAGGCTCAAGGGCCCCCAAAGCTTCAGGTAGATTAGATACAGAATAAGCAGGAGAGGGTGCAGGAGAGCACTTAGTCTTGTGGTTAGAGTCAGCTAATAACCGGGTGATTCTAACCATAAAGTTTTCCATGGCTGTTTTTTGGTTGCCAATGTCCAATCCTCCTGAGGGTGGCAGCATAACCTGAAGTTGAAAGACCTCCTGTGTCCCTAAATGGACAGGAAAGAAGGTGAAATTTCACCTTTCGAATAAATACGTCTTTTCAGTATCAGATGCATAAGGGCTCGTTCACACCGATGTGCTGCAGTAAAGCATGCATTTTTACCATGCACATTAACATGCGTTGGTGGGATGCATTGTCATTCATTCAGTTGGATCCATTGATTCCCCCTTAGTCACCTTTTTGTAGAACGGCTGGTCTGCGGGACTCCGGGTCTTCAGAAACTCCTCACTGTTAAACACCCGGTGCTCATAATTAAGGTGAGCCTTCACATCTCTGCCACATATAGAAAGAAGAAGGAGGACAAGGATGACATGCAGTGTAATAATAACACGTTCAGTCCTCTCATATAGCTCAATGTCATATATACTCCACTACATGATATAACCTGCAATAAAAAGAAAGGCCTGTTCTGTGCCCTCCTGACTCTCCTCTCTGTATTACACCATCATTCTCCCCC